CGTAACTATTCGAATGCCCCCTGTGGCAAAGGCCGTTTGTCTTACCTCTTGTTTGCTTTTACCATTAGGCAATCAAATTATCACGCTTCTCTCGAGATTGCCGAGTACTCGAGAGTAAGAGGAAGCTCCTCTAGTATAGTGCCGATAGCACCGAGGCCACGCTGCCAGAGGCCACTTTACGTTCACCGGAAGTCGAAGAAACACGTACAAGCTTAGTTTACTACAAAAGCTAGCTAAAACCTGGTAGAAAACGTCTACGAAAAGATCTATATCGTGTTGTATATTTTTACTTAAATCTTTCATAATTTTCATGACGAGATCAATAAATTATTATATAATTAACAATCACATTAAATATATTTATGTATTTCACTTGTCAATCTTTTTCTGTTAAAATCGTAATTCTTAAATTAATTAATTCTTTTATTTAATTATTATTATTATTATTATTATCTCTCTCGAAAATATAAAAATACGAATTAATTGATATTATATTTTGGACTCGAGATCTCGTTTCAAATTTCGTATAAAATATTCAATTAAAAATCATTATTATTAACTAATCACAATTTAATTTGATTTTTTTTTTCGAGGATAATAACGATATCGATATCATAGAATTCACCGTAGGAAGACCCTAGAAACATTATAGTCGACCCTGTATCATAACTCTTCTCATGTCGAGTCTAAAGTCTTCGTTGAAAGTTTTGTAAGTTCCGGCGGGTTAGTGTGACAAGGTAAGACGAAACTTTTCCGATGGTCGTCGATGCGCCTCAGGGACCTTCAGGAAATCCCTTTTTCCGCGTTTTACCGAAGAACTCCTTTTGCCAGTCGATGACAAAGCTCGTTTTCGATGTTGAATGGGAGACCAGTCGTAAAACAATGAGTCTCGGTTGTATACAACAGAAGAGAAAGAGTGTGTATGTGTGTATAAAAGAAAGAGAGAGAGAGAGAGAGAGAGAGAGAGAGAATAAGAGAAAAGAGAATAAAAGAGTGAGGAGGGTGAAGTGGTGGAAGGAGGGGGGGGGGTGAAAGAGAGAGCATGAATTTCCGTGAGATGGTAGACGATGGTGGTGGCTAGCGATGCTGTTAGTGATGGAAATGTTCGTATCGAGAAATCGAGTTTGTGAGAGATGTGTGTGAGAGAGAGAGAGAGAGAGAGAGAGAGATGGGCGGGCTAGAGTGATTGTGCGTACATCATTTATTGTTGTCAGTACACAATAATCCTATTTCCTGTTCGGCGACGATTAATCATCGGGAAGAGTTTGCGCGATCACTTGTGCTGTTTCGAATCTATTTTTCTCTCCCTCTTTCTATCTCTATTGTTCTTTCCCTCCCTCTCTCTCTGTCATTTTATCCTTTTTCTCGTTCTCGTTCTCATCCTCTCTCTCTCTCTCTCTCTCTCACTCTCTCTTTCGTTCTTTCGTTCTTTCTTTATCTACTTTATTTTTTTGTAATTTTTTGTCTATTCGCACCCCCTCATCGATACGACAAAAGTATTATATCACAAATGACCATGTGTCGATTGTTTCAATAGTTTACAACTTGAATACTTGAAAAGCCCGCATCGAACGTGCTTCTAAAGCTCCTATTCTGCTATACGACTTCTTTCTATTCATCGTTTTATCATCCATAGCCCAAGAAGACGGACTTGTTTATTCAACGTCGGTTTTCATCATGTTATATATATATATATATATGTGTGTGTGTGTACCTCTTGCCGAATAGATTTTCAAGGATTGAGGTCGCTACGTTTTCCAAGTCAAAATATGCATTCTTTCGGGTCGGTATTGTGAAACGGAGAATGTGTATTCCCCCTCTAAGAGAAACTTGTATTCGTTGGATTTGATACCGATATTAATTCGATCGATCTTAGGAACGATTAAATTTTGTATTTTAAATGAGAGAGAATTTTTATTCGATCGTAATGTTATAACGGAATATCTTTCAATGGTATCAAAATAAAACCGGAAGAGAAAGAGTGAGAGAGTTGAACAAACACTTATTCCAGAAAGAGATAGAGAAGAAAGAGAATTGGACTTGGCACAGTTTCCAAAGCATTTGCATGTTCATTATCAATAATGGTTGATGATATTCCTTTTGTACGTATCAAACGAACTATTTATCGATCTATAATTATTAGTTCGTACCAAAGAAAAGAAACAATCAATCTTTCTAACTGTATGTGTATCCGTATAGTTGTTTTGTTTTATCTTTCATTTATTATACCATGAATATTTGATAGTTAATTTACTTTCAATGCCAAAATCTTGGTGTTTTTTTTTTCCTTTTCTTTTCTTTATTATTTAGCAAATACGGTGCCAGGATAAATAGCTATCACGATATTTTAGTCAGTATTAGACTCAAACTACTACTACTACTACTACACACACATACACACAGTATATATACGTAAGCATACGGTCAAATTTGCATTGCTTAACGTCGAGTAATAATATCTCTTCGGATATATAACTTTTCTATTGTCTATCCTTAACTTCTCGACATTGCGTGGAAACGACGACACCCCGTACTATTTCTGTTGAAGGAAAACTAACTTGTGTCTGCACTCTCTCTATTTCTCTCTCTCTCTCAAGAAGAAATGTTAACGCATTAAACTGAGAAACGTGAAAACGAGTAACTCAGCATGATATTCTTGTGTACTCTATGAAACGTATACGCGAAGTTAAACGCATCCTTATCTTTGTTCTGAAAGATAATTATAGTACTATTAAATTATTATTTTTTTAATCATAATCATACACACATTACGTTTGAGTTTATATTAATTAATCTAATTTTGAAATAATCAATAAATTACTCAATATCGAGCCAGTACGTACGTAACCGTCAATTCAAATTGGAAATATTTTTATGACCAGATCTTTTTCTCTTCGCGAGTGCAAATTTAAAAGCAATTTTGTTTCGAGAGAAAGTATCTTTTATATATATATATATATATTTCCGAAACACAATTTATCCGTATCTATATATATTTATCGTGATATCTTTGTATAACAATATGTGATATAACAAAATATATTCGAACGTATTTATATTATATTTTTATTTTACTCGTTCTACGAGCAAAGGTTTATATAGAAAATACCGAGGGGAACCATCGTGAGTTCGATTTTATTTTTTATTTCTTTTTAAATATAGGACCTCATTGAAGGATTTTTAATTGCGGTACTCGATAGAAAATTTATGAAAATAAAGTGAGAGAGAGAGAGACATCGACGAATTGTCGAATGTTAATTAGTGCTCCTCACGACAATACGCTTCAAAACTTTTTCTCATCGAAATTCGTGTTTACGAGTTTACAATTATTCTCGCAGTACTCTTTACTCGTAGTACCACTGACTACTCGAATTGCCGATTTTATCGATCGTTAAATGAACTCTTATCTATAAAAGGAACTCTTATATACCTATATATATATATATATATATATATATATATATATATATATATATATAGGTATTTTATATATATATAAAAGCCCGAGGAGTTTTAGTAATCGTCAATAATAAGAATGAAAAGGAACGACTAGATATATACGTACGAAACGTGCCAACTCTGCCAAAACGTTCATGATCGATACTTTAAGATAGGTATTGGCATGAAACGAAGTGAATCTTTTTTCTTTCATACACACAGATAGACACACATACGTTCTATCTCTTTCTCTTTTTCTCTATAGCTCGCGATGCGATGCGATGCGGTGGTACAATCCCTGAGAGGAAATGCGTCGTTTTCCACCCAGTGGTTTTCAAATTTATCCGATTGTTGTAAATCAATGAAAGGATCGTTTTCACGAGACAGCGAGCTGAATAATTGACTCGCGTTGATCACCTGATATACTTTCAATCATCGACTATTCGTATCATCGGGGATAAATAATGCGTCAAAGTGTGATAGGGTGGGAGGGGGAGTTGGGGAGAGAAATTGTTTCGCGGCTTTACTAATCAATCGAAAAGGAGGCCTTTCTCTCCTATTTTGACGGTGAATCACCGAAGAGAAGATCTTGCTAATGCGTGCATGTGTGTGTTTTTCCAGAAAGAGAGAGAGAGAGAGATTGAGAAAGCAGCAAAAGTCGAAGATGTATTGATCTTTCGATTGTATTGCCACCACCGTACGGGTAATCGTGCCGGAGTCAATAATCCGTGATCCGCTCAGCTTGGGAACCGCTTTGCCTCAACGTGTAATTGGGATCAGTGCTTATCTGTTGGCGCACACCAGGGCTCAACCCTCTCTCCCTCTCCCTCTCTCTCTCTCTCTCTCTCTCTCTCTCTCTCTCTCACTCCCTTATACCAAGAGACCCCCACCTAAATTCTGCGCCAGAGAGTATTACCTACGCAATACAGACGCAATACCAAGCCTGCACTTACTCTTGCCATGTTAGGAGTAAGATTATGCGTAATCGAGTTAGAGATATCCATCATGTGAATCGTTTTAGGATGATATTAAATCTCTATGATTAGAAAGCGTATTATTAGCTAAGGATCGTTTTATTCATAAATAAATCAGTATATATATATCTTGTTGTATTTTTTTTATTATTAATTAACAGTCGTTGTTATCCTTTCTTGACAAAAGATAAAAGAAAAGTAGATATATTGTTGCGTGTATTTATATTTAATAATAATAAAGTATGATAATTAGTGAATATCGTGTATGTACTGTTTTATATTCTCTCATTAATATAACGATTACGTTATCCAAATCACCAGTTAAAAGCTAGGTATATATATAGTTTAATTTCCCTAAATTCCAATAACAAGTACAACTCTAATTCATGTCAAAGAGATATCTCTCTCTCGGTAATATCGTGATAGACTTGAATGACATGATCAAACAAGACTATTACATTCGTTAATAATCTCAATTAGCGAATACGAGAAATGATCGATAGTACCTATATCGAATAATATCATTATTGATTACGTTAATTTAACGTTGAAATTGTTTAATCGAACGACAACGTCATTGTGTTTCAGATTTGCCGACCTTTAACAAGTCAATTTCAAATGTGACAGTCGCGGTGGGCCGAGAAGCTGTACTTGCCTGTGTCGTTTCGAATCTTTCTGGTTTCAAGGTAAATTAAGTTTAACTTAAAAGTACAAACTATTATTCTTTTAACAATGATTTTCTATCGTATAATAATAAGCCTTTTATATAATAAATTTAACAACGTGTCTCACACCTACTCTCTCCTACTTTTCATTACATCACTTTTCCATCTTATTTTATGGGAAAAATCTTCCTTACATGCTGCAAACCTGTGATCGATGAGACACCTGATATTAGAAAGTCGCGTCTGATCGTATCAAATCTTTTTAATCATTTTCAAACATTATACCAGCAGCCAGATGTTTGTCCTCCTAACGGTAAATTGTTACACGAATCAAATGATATATTTTCATTTGTTTTTTCAATGAAATATTTTCGCTTTCTAATTCATCGAATTATTCGATCATTTGAAATTGGGAATGAACGAATGGAAAATAAGGTAAGGCTGTGAGAAGGAATCATTTAATTTCGATTATTAAACAATGTCAAATATCTATTTCTATAATTCGCAACGTGTTCTTTGTTAACAATTACATTATTATATTTTCGATAGCAAAAATAAACTCATTATTCGATTATTATCTAAATTATGAAAAGATATAAATTCGTATTTATTCAATTTTATTATTATTCTTCCATTCTCACAAAGAGGGAATAATTGTACTCTCAATCGAAAACAAATGTTCTTATTCTTTTTAATAACGAATTTAAATATCTCGATTATATATTATTATTATATTATTCGTAATTGAAATTCAATAATATCTGACCTGCTCTCTCTCTTTCCCCTTTTTTCTTTTGTGTACATAGTATATAAATATATACGAGCTATTTGTAGTAATATTCGGAAAAAAAAAAGACAAGTAAAAGAAGAAAAAAATATCACTAAATCATACAATCCCGAATACAGAAAGTTAGCCGATGCGAAATATGGAGATCTGGGCTACGGTTTGATAAACAAAGTTTAATTTAACTGTGGACGGTTTTTGTGATTACAAGTTAAAATAAACTTTATTGACGTAGCCGGTGTATTCATCGGCACGACGAAGGTGGAAACAGGAAAGTGCTCGCGAATAGTAGTAGTCTCCTCTATCGTATGACAAACATCGTTCATGACAGTTCCATAAAACCTACCAGTGAATTAAAGTTCCTTCATCTGGCGATAACGATTTTTCATTCTCACGATAGCGTCTCTCGTTTTTCATTCTACTTTCATTCTTCTATCTGGCAAAAGGAGGTTTATTTTACCTCAGGACTCTGAACAATGCTGATGTACGGGAGGAAACCTTGTTAGAACGTCTAATTGCGTTCCTCTTTACTTGCGTGCAAACCAACTGTTCGACATTCTTTTTTCTTCTTTATTTTTTCAAATTTTATTTTGGCTTATATTTTTCTTTTTTTTTCTTTATTATTTTTTTTTTTTTTATATATATAATATTATACAAGCGCGATAGGATAATTAAATTTATTTTTTTCTCTTTTAATTTCAACGTAACGTCAAGTTGCAAGACAACGCGTTTCCTTGAGAATGATAATACAACGACAACAATAATGTTGATTAAAATAAAAGAAAAGAAGAAGAAGAGAAAAATTTCGTTGGAAAAATATCAAATAAAAAGGTTGGATAATATGAGATAAATTCCCCACTCCCTCTTCTATTTGATCGTAAATCTCTTTCATCATATTTCGAATGTAACTGGTTTTACCAAAAAAATAACAACAATATTCCTCTCGACACACAATAGAGAGAATAGCGGCGATTCGGAATTTTTCAAAAAAAATAAAAATAAAAATCTCTCACCATATAATGGATCGTTTTGATCACGCGACGAGGTTAACCTCCTCCCCTTCCCATCCCTCTCCCTCTTCCGTCTATCCTAGTTAATCCCGACCGTTCTTCACTGTTATCAAATCGTTGTTCCGTCCCTTGTCCCGTTCTCGTTGAAATCTCTAAATCCCAAAAGGCTGAGAGGCTGAAAATTTTAAGTCTTCGGATCGTGAGAACGACGAAGGAACTACGAAGACTGAAGGGCGGGGATGGGGGGGGGTGAGGGTAGGGTACGCGTGCCGTACTTTTGTCCCTTCGCTTATTTTACATTTCGATTGTAAATGGCAAAAGTACTCGTTGTGGGAGGATTTTCTTTGGCCGAAGGAGAGTAAGAGAAATAGAAAAAAAAAATAGAAAAAATAGAAAGAGAGGGAGAGAGAGAGTACAACAAGAGAAAAAGGAAAAGAAACGAAAGGGAAGGTATGAGTAAAAAAGACGTTGAAAAGACGTTTGCAAAGCTTCTAAAGCAGCATGGACTTTGTGTTACTGTGAGTAAAATTTTGGAAGTAGTCGAGGATCGTGTTGAAACAGGAAACGAGAACTATGGTTGCTAGTAGAAGGATAAAGATAAAAGATGAGAAGAAGAAGAAGAAGAAAAAGAAATAAGTGGTAGGTGCTGAGGAGTGAAAGGATAGTAGGAAAATGTTTTCTACGTAAAAAAAAAAAGAAAAAAGAGAAAAAGATGTGGAAAGATAAAGAGACGGACGAAAAGACAACAAAAATAATGAAAATAAATATAAAACAGGTTTCTGGATGTGAATTTTTTAGTTGACATAGACTTTTAGCTTAAGTACGTCAGTTTACTAGTCTAGATATACGACTAACTCAGAACTATTCCTCGTCAAGTTCTTCTCCTACTTTCTCGTTTTCTCTACTCCTACCAACTCCCACCCCTACCCTTATTTCACTGTTCTCATACTTTTCATCTTATGTTTGAGCCAGTGGGCCAACTTCATTGGCAGTTTATTTCCTAACGAGTCGAAACGATACTTGAACAAGTTATGGTAGTAGTTAGTCGTAGAGAGAGAGAGAGAGAGAGTGACAGAGAGAGTGTCGCAAAAGTTCACAATTCAAACTCATTAAGAATTTATTGATGTTAGGTAATCTGCGGTTAATCGTCGTCCCTGTCCGACTGTAATAACTTTGTAAAGGTTTTCTTTTTTTAATCGAAATTTTTATAACAAGAAAGAGAGAGAGATGTATATATCTGAAAAACATTATCAAACTCTTGATTAAACTTCAGATTTATATTATATACGAATTATCGATATTATTCGGTTTCTGGTGTAGAAATTATTCTAACCAATTTCGATCATTTTCAACAATTATTGTGTTCGTTAATTATCGAAAGTAATTATACACAATTTCGACGATCCTTTTTTTTTTTAGCACTTTCAAATTTAAACTCATATCTATGGAATTTAATACTACAAAGTTAATTTTATCGAATATAAAGTATGTTATACTTATTATTGGAATTTAATCAGGATATTATAGATAACATTTATCTTCCATTAATTATCTATATTTGAGACGAGTATTAATTATTGTTAACATATTTGTATTATCGTGTTCTTGTCGGACATCATATCCCGGGCTTAAAATATATAAGATTACAGTATGTTAGTAAGGGCTAAAGCAAGAACGATGCATTAGGCTTCCTGATGCTGAGCTTAATGGTATCTTTAATTAAAGCAGCAAATATAATGGAGTATAACGAATTAAGTGAAAATATTTTCTACTCGGATGAGTCCGTGTTTTCAATGAATGAATTTTTATTTTTTTATTTTGTTATTCATATATATATATATATTATAATTAATAATTAAATATTATTAGTTTTATATAAAAGGTGCCAATCAATTCTTTAACTTAAACATATTCCTCGAAATAAATTTTCAAAAATTTTACAAAATGATATCTCTTATTAACCAATCAAAAATAATTCAAAATGCAGTAACAATTTGAAAAAATTTGTTAAGATTTATTACAACGAAATTTTATTATATATTTTGCAATAATGTTTTCGTTCGTGTTTTGCATGTTCAGGAACTTTCTAAAAGATAGTACCGCGAATTGTTTTCCTTGGATATAATCCTGCGAAGGGATATCTTCCTCAGGGGCAAGTTCCCAGTGTCCTGTTGTTTATGTTTCCGGGCCTTATCGTTAAGACGTAGTCAGTAGTCTATTGAATAAATATAACTGTTCGGCGATAACCGCGAGAAATAATTAAAAGATATTTCATTAAAAAGAAAAAAATAATTTCAAACGATGTTTTTTTCATTCAACTACTTATCTGCACTAATTAACGAAAAAACTTCGTATAAAAATCAACATTATTATATTCGTAGTTTACTTAGAATCGTCTATGATAATCTAGATTAAAAATATAGTACTTACTTACTTTAACGATAGAATAAATAAAATGATTTAACTAACGCAGTCAAGTTTTGTATTCTTCATTCCATCAGAACTTGAACTTATTGTGAACATCCTTAGAATAGAAGTAAATTCGACACGCCTCCCTTTTCATCGAAATTCTTTCCTTCCACAAAGAATGGAAAAAGGGGAGTGGGATGGTGATGGAAAAGGGTGGAGTCGGGGGGGGAGGGTTACTACGAATACGCGATATTTCTCTAGACTCGACATTACTTCCAACGTCACGTACTTCCCTTCCAAAAAGCGAACACACAGTTGCACGTACACTTAGGTACACACGTACGTAGGTACGTAGACACATACTTACATAGATTTGTACTAAGTCCAGAGAGAATCGACAACGATAGGGAGGAAAGTGGGATGTGGTGGGGTGAGGTGGGGTGGGATGGGGGTGGTAAAGCAAGAAGAAGAAAGCAAAAGGCGGTAGTACGGACGTGAATCTCGTGCTAGGGCAAAATTATACCACGCTCTTGGGATAACGGACACTTCATTTTCGTCGGGCGCACTATGGTGGTTCGGAAAGGAAGGAACGAAAGGAAGGAGGGAAAGGAAGAAAGGCTTCTTGGTCTTCTTATTTGGTGCTTGGCTAGAGATTTGCGACGTTCTAAATGACAGCGTACCGCGAAAGTTTATTGTTAGGTGAATCGAAGCGGGGTGGAGAGAGGGGAGTTCATACTCCGCCTCCTTACTCCACCCTCACTCTCACCCTCACTCTCACCCTCACCCTCTTTTCTCTCTCATTCTTCCCAACTCTTAGA